GGGGGGGGGGGGGCTGCTAAAGCAAAACTATCCCGAGATGTTATTCCCAGGGTTCTGATGCTGATTGCTAAAGTAACTAGCTCCCTAAAGTGCGTTCCAACACTATCCAGTAGAGAACTTAAATGGTTGGCACATCATACACAACGGACTATTTTTAGCTTTACGTGTTGTTTCCTGTTCCTCTGTAGACTGTTTGTCTGTTTGTTGAGTGTAATCACTGCAGAGTTGCCCGAAGGCGTGTGTCCTTGAAAGGAGAACGAAACGCAGTGATAAGATAATACCGTTCTTCAATACCTTCGGAACCACAGATGGCAAAAGTACACACATCCTTTACTCAAGTAGAAGTACAGATACTCGTGTTTAAAATACTCTGGTAAAAGTAGAAGTACTGACTAAACTTCTTTACTCAAGTCAAAGTAAATAAGTATGAAATGTACTTAAAGGTGGGGTAGGTAAGTTTGAGAAACCGGCTCGAGATACACTTTGTTATATTCCATGGAATGCTCTTAACATCCGATAGCAATGAATATCTGAAGTGCTTTGACAAAATATCATTTGAGCCGGCCCGGCTAAAGTAACTGGATGGCCTACCTGCCTGTCAGCCTTCCATCTGTGCACAAACTTATCTCGTGCCCTCATTGGTCATGTGCGCGTTCGTGTGTGTTAGAGGAGGGGCTCTGTAAGGAAGTGGCAGATTTTTTCCGGCTGTGTATTTTCAAATTCTAGCGCACTCAAGCTGGTTTCTCCAAAATTACCTACCCCACCTTTAAAGGGGACCTATCATGCAAAATTATGCATGAGAGGTTGCGTGGCATGGTAACAGCATGGTAACAGCATGGTAACATGACGCTCGTGCCTCGCCCCCCTCGTGGTCAGCTGCAGCTCATTTGCCACAGAATCAGCCCTTGTGAAGACAGGGCTGGAATAGAGCAAATAGAGCGAAATGAGGCATGGCTAAAATGCATCTGTTTGGTATTTTGAAAAAAAAACTTGTTTTATATAGGTATGGCCCTACAATATATTATTCAAATATAGCATGATTGGTCCACTTTAAGTAAAAGGTACCCATAACTAGCAGCTGTTTTAAAGAGTACCTGACCTCCCTTTATATTAATAGAACAATAATATCATTGTTAGCTAATGAATGTTTCCATGCTGAACAACGGCAACATGACAACGTTTTCATTGGTCCCTCTTCTTTAGAGAAGACCAGGAAATGATGGATACACGGATCGTGTTCAAATCAATAGGCACGCAATGACTCTAAATAATAATGATCACGCCACCAAACACACATTCAGACTAAAGGAACCAGCCTGTTGGGAACATGTAACAAGTAGAAAGTACAGGTATTTGTGTTCAACATGTAAGAAGTAGAAAGTTCAGGTATTTGGGTTTAAAAATGTGTAAAAAGACGTCAGAAAAATAAGTAGTGGAGTAAAGTACTGATACCAGAAAAATGTACTGAAGTACAGTAACAAAGTATTTGTACTCCACCACTTCCCACCTCTGCTCTCTAATGATTGGTGCATTCAGGACCAAACAGCTCCCACTAATTGAAGCAGTGTTAACAGATAGCAGATTTACACGCAGCATTTCCCCTGAGTAACACATTCCAGACTACGCTAATCCATAAAGTAGACTGCCACAAGCTGTACAAGAGGAATAACACATCATGCGACGCAGTAAAATTAACGGGGGATAGGGGGGGGGCCCAGATGCCCACGGATGAACGCCTGCCAACAACCCAGACCTACATTTAGTTCACGAGCGTGATCAAAATCTCAATTTACAGGCTCTGTTATTGCTCTGCGACAACACTGCTAACTAGAGGATTTACACGGTGCTTTGTGAGGCTGACTCCTCTGATCGGTGATCACTTTGAGAGAAACACAAGCATAGATGAGCGACTGGGAACTATTTATATTCTCCTATCCACGATGCATTCAAATACTTTACCATAAATCAACTGGAACCGACTCCCTGTTTTTATTAGGGAGGCAGACAAACTGTGTGCTGAAGACTTTCCTTTCAAAATAAATAAAAGCATTTTGTATATACAACAGTTGTTACTGATGTATTTTTATTGTTGTGCTATTGGTTGCATCAATCTGTTGGTGGGGGGTGGGGGGGGAGTGTATGTTCGTTGTTTGTACTGTTATGCAATAAAATATCTGAATAAAAATACAAATGAAAAAGCACACAGTTGAAGCTGGCTTAAGATGTCAGTCCTACATTTGACTGCATATCATTTTGTTGTATTTGTGTTGCCTTTCTGTTGTATTTTGATCTCGTTTTCTTAACACTGTCTTCACCTGTTTTGTGCTATCTGTGTAAACTAAATATATGTGATGTTCCTTTTCTCTCTCTGCAGAAAGACATTTCCATGGAGAAGATGTCCGTCGGTACGCAGCCGGACTCTCTCGATCTCTCTTTGGAGTCCCTGAACAAACTGAACGGCAGCTTAGGCCTCCGCAGGGGGGGCTGCCAGGCCGACGGGGGGAAGAGCGGGGGGGACGGCAGCAAGCTGGAAGAGCCCTCCTCCTCCAGCTTCTCCAGTAGGCCGGGGGGGGATCCAGTGGGCTCCCTCAGCGACTCGCTCTACGACAGCTTCTCCTCCTGCACCAGCCAGGGCTCCAACGAGGTGTAGGGCCCCCCCCAGGAGGAAGATTATTCTCATCGAGGCCCCTCCTCTAACACCTCAAGGTCTCTTCTGACTGAGTGGTAGATATTGTGGGAAACTGAAAAATCTCACTCGTCACCAGTTTCAATATCAGGATGCATGTATTTATGATCCTCTCAAGAATGGAAGTACTCATCACATACAGAGCATTTTTTACAACTAGAACAGTTTCCTTCAAAATGCTTATATACAAGAGAGGGAGTTCAAAAGTCCCCAAGATGGAGGGTTCAAAGCAGATGTTTTGTTCCGATTTGCTAAGACCCACGTCAAAAATGATCATACTTGTCATATGTTGGGCCTTTCTTATCAGGTGCTCCTGATATACTGATATTGGAAGAGTTCATTCCCAACAGAAACCTTTAGGCAGCCATTTTGATTTGGCTTCACCTTTTTGGATCTGGTCTTCAAGTTTGACTTATTCACGGGGAAAGACTGGACTTCAGCCCTGTCCTCTCTACAACACAAAGCACTTGATGAACTTCTAAGCAAACACCAAACCAGGACTTTAAATACGTGGTGGACTGGAGAGCAATACAAAACGTTGTGTCATCGCAATGTGTTTTCTTCTTATCATTGCACTGTAACAAATACTGTACAAAGTTAGTAAGGAGAGTCAAGACAGTTGCTGTGATTGCATTCCTGTTTGCTAGGAAACTACATTCAAACCTTTTTATTTGTTGCTGCTAAACGTGGAATCACAAACGATAACCTTGGTTTCTTTTTCTTCTGTGATGCAATACTTTTTACAAATCACAAAAGACTTTCATTTTTATTTTTAAAGGTGAAAACCCGTTGCCAATGTTGTCTTTGCGTGTTACTTTGAGCATCAAATGACATGGAAATCTTCAGTTTTTACAGCAGTATGTAATCGTGTTAACTTAAGCAAAAAGCATATTAGGTTTTCCTTGTGGCATATTTCCGAAAAGAGAAGATTTTTCTATTTGTGACACAGGTAAAGCAAAGAGTCATTGTGGGTAGCTCAGGGAAAATACGGACTAATGTAGATTGTAAGGAACTACAAAACCACTCAGTAATATTCTGCTTTTTTAGATTTTAGAATCCACACCGTTTAGTTTTTACACCTGAACTCGCCAAACCTCAGTTTTCCTTTCATAGCTGTACATTACGTTGTATATAAAAATGACTATAAGTTAATATCAGAATGGGCATTGCTGATTGATATATGCAAATAAGGAAAAAAAAAGATGTACATTATTGCCAATCATTCAAGGTTTCTAAGTCTACTGTTTGTATCTTTTTCTTTAGGGGTTCTTGTTTCAAGCAAAATCTTTATTTTGATCGATAAGAGCTTATACTAAAATATTTTATCACTTTATTTTCAAGACATATTTGAACTTTTAGGTGAAGTTATGCCAAATTTCTCTCTGGAATTTGACCAGCTGGTGCTAATCAACAGAGCCGACTGTGTGTTTCAATTTTTCTATGAAACTGTTAATATTGTATGAAGAGACTTGTGTATTTTTCTAGATGTCCAGTATTTATACCCACATTTTGTACTGTCAGACTGTAGTGTGAGTGTCATGCTTCACCTCTCTCCTTAAATGTTCCTTTGTAAAGAGAAATGGTTACCAGCAGTGTTACTTTGGTAATTATTATTAATGTTATTATTATTATTATTACTACCGTGTGCAATTCTGTCTGTTACAGCAGACTTTAATGCTATATTTTATGTAACTATTTCCTAAATAAATATGAGAAACTATTTCAAACTGAGCTGCAAGGTGCGTGTATTTTCATTATCAGGTGATTCACTCAGTGTGAGCCAGAGTGTGAGCCGGAGTGCAGCCCGGAGCCCTGTATTCCTGCGCCGCTGCGGAGGGATTTATAACCATTAGTCCCTTGATGGGTAATTAGGTGCGTATTTACGCTATTAGTTTACGCAAGCTCGGATGATTCCTCGTCTGTCTGCTTCAATAATAGGCTCAATATGTTGCATTGATCACAAAACAAACAGCAATAGAACATAAGCATATATTTAGTTTATTATTTCATTGTAGCTTTGACGTTAGGGGATGACGTAAGGGGAAAATAAAATGCTCCCTTCAAGTAAAGTGGTCTTTAATATAGTTTAGATGCGGACTAAAACCAACATAAATAAGGTTTTAATATTAGTTTTGAAATCTTAGGCTTAAGTCAGTTGTTGCCAACATTGAAATATAATTTTTTAAAAACATGAATAATGGAAAATCCAAATAAAAAAATTAAAAAGGCAACAAAAAAGTGACGTAAATCGTACTTAATAATATATACTCTATATACAATATTCGTTTTATTATTTAACATTAATATACTTGAAAACTCTTGATAAAATGTTACAAACTGTTACAACATCACTGTGTTAACTTAAAGCATTATAGCAAAAAAGGACCATAACTCCAAATTCATTGTATAAGAAAAGGTATTAGATAAAGGTCACTGACACTCATAATGCAGTTATATTTACATTGGATACATTACATAATAAGATATTGTAAGGAATAGAGGTGGTTGATATGAATTCACTGAACTTTTCATTCCTCTCCAAAATACACATCACAGAATTATCATTTAAATGTAACTTTTAAATGCCAAAATGTGTGTAAACTCACTGCGTGTGGATAAGCTTTGATCGCCATCTCTCTCAGTGCATGAAGAAAAGTGAGCGAGATGTGAAAATGCCAAGGCTCCCATCATCACGTGGTTTCGCATTATGATCCGTGCGCTCTGGGTTTGTCTCCAGTTGAGGAGAGACTCTCCACACTTTGCGGAGCTTCCTCACCCCAGCCAGCCGAGAGGATGAACGGATTGGAGTCTTGTGTTCCTCCGCGGCGGATCGTCCTCCATGCCTCCGTCTGAACTAGTTTCTTTGGTCTGATGTTTCCCCTCCGAGCCTCATTTTGGAGAGAATGCTTCTTCTCATTTTTGCGACTTTATGTGGAGTCCTTCTCAACGCAGGTAAGTGCAAGTTGGAGACACTGCGGACACGTTTGGAGTCGTTGTGTCAGTTTGTGTATTAACACGTGCTGAGATTGTACTAAAGAGATAGGCTACTTCCTTTCTATTCGTGTGCAAAAAACATTATACAAAGAAACCTGATTATTTACTGCATCGAAACATTATAATTTAAACTGTTTAATCTCGCGATATATGTTTGGACGTGGTTCATTTTAGAAAACAGAGCTTTATGGAAACTAATTTCTTCTGCGTATGTGCGTAAAAATGGTCTTTCAAATCCACATACAATTTTCACATTTACTGCCTGACTTTGAATAGTTTTGAGGAAACTCAAGGAACTAAGATTATTTTTGGTGCTGGCCTGGGGGGGGGAGATTATCAGTTAGCCTCTGGCCTATTTTCAATTGTTCTGATACTTGGTTTGAATGAGTGGTTTAATTTATGCCAGCAAATATTGCGAGAATGCTGCCTTTTTTGTGCCATTTTTGGAATAGGTGGTGCTCACACATGCGGTCCTTTCCTATCCTTTTATTTATGACATCATGTTGTGACTAAATTGATTATGGGATTGTGACTATAATATATTGGTTTTGCACCCTCATAATGCAGATTGTGTATATAGACATTTTATTTATTGGGATAAACCCCTTGAGATGCACCATCTCGTTTTCAAGGGGGTCCCGATATCATTTCTGTTGTTGAAAAAACAAATAGATTAAGAGTTCTGATGGAGCTGATAAACTTGATTCTCCCCTCCACTATGATAGATATTCCCCTAAAAAGAAGTTAGTTGTTTTCACAATCTCCTCCCAAGTGATGGATGGAGTTGCTTGGTTTAAAGTAATTATCCTGGGGTTGTGATGTTATATGTGGACCTTTTATTAGATGCGTTTGATGGCGCTGTCGGCGTTGAGATTAATGTTTGGTGCCATTTCAATAATTACTCTACTAATATATATGTCAGTGGGGACGGATAGCCTGTGTGAGATATTGGAAGAGGGAAAGGGCAGGCTGGACTTGGAAGTTTTTGATTGAATGCCTCCGTATATCTTTTAGAAATGGTTTTATTTTCAGATTCTGTTCAAAAATACCATTAACATTCACCATTATGTGTGTACATATATCACGCTTAATGCACAGCGCTCATATTGTCTGCAGAAAATGATCCTAAGACATGATACACATTCATCATTTATAGCTTGTATACCATTTTAAAGTATAACAGAAACTCAGATTGGCAATTCTGAGCAGCTCTAAAAGTAACAGATGAAATGTGGGAAAGCTGCGTGGATCTCTGTATATTATCTTTATGAGAAAATGCAGTGACACTCACATTTTACTACCTCAGGGGATGAGATTTCACACGGGCAATCTTTACACCAGCGGAGCGCATCAACTCGTTCTTACTGACGGCTCGTATTGTAAATAGAGCTTTATCACCTATAAAAAATCCCCGCGTTGAAAGGGAAGTTAAAGGAGCCTCTGCTGATGTGTTTTTCTTGTAAGAGCTTTAGCTCACCTCAATGTGTGAATCCATAACCTCTCTGTTGACTCCCAGGAGACAGCCAATAAAACTAGATTAGACCCGGAGCAGGACTTGCTTATGCTTTCTCTAAAGTAACAAAACCTCGGCACTGCCCTTGTGCTAGCAGGCGTAATGTCACAGAAGATAGAGAAGATGACATTGCACTCTCATGGAGCGCCATTAGTCTTGTTTGAAGGTGTAACATTATCGAATAACACGGCTCTCTCCCAAAGGCATATCTATAAGAGCCTTGGCTGCTTGACTCGAAGAGAACATAAAGAGGAAAAACAAATGTACAAATTGGGTTCACATAATGTGCCGAGTGAGAATACTGTGTGTCAGTATGAACTCACAAGATACAGGACAAAAATAGTGTATCCTGTCATGAAAGGCAATCATTGAGAGAATAAGGAATAGGTGATATTGACCTCTGGAGTAGTGGCACCTTTAATACACTTAATTCCCTAAAAATAGTGAATTATTTTTACGTTTCACAACCCTGATTTCAATGGATCATATTTTGGGAAATACTCTAATTTGCTTCCTTGCTGAAAGTCATATGAGAAAATGGATAACACGCCAATTAGCCTAGCTTAGCTTAGCACAAAGACTGGAAACAGCTGGCTCGGTCCGAATGAGACAAAATCCACTTCTTAACACTTGCTAGCAGTTTCTCACTGTTTCCCGTCTTTGTGCTAAGATAAGCTAACTAGCTGCTGGCTGTAGCTTTACGAAACAGAAGAGTGGTATTGACCTTCAAATCTCTGCAACACAGCAAATATGACAAGCTATTCCTTTAATCAAAATGCTATAGCTACTCTATCTAAGATTTGATATCATATATATTTGTCAGCTGTCATCCATCAGAAAACCTCCATTTTGTCCGCTATGTCACAATTGCTCAAACATTTTCCACTTCCAGGAGATGCCCTTCAGATCCAGTGCTACCAATGTGAGGAGATGAAGCAAAATGACTGCTCCACGCCGGAGTACATCGTCAACTGCACCGTCAACGTTCAGGACATGTGTCAGAAGGAGGTGTTGGTCAAACCCGATGGTAAGGGAAAGACTACTTCATATTCCTTTATGGGATCCAGGAGGGAGTCGTCTAACATTGATATTCCAAAATGTAAATGCTGAGCCAGAAGAGGAAAGGAGGGGATGATCTTTAACTGCAAAGAATAAAGATAAGATAAGTACTTTATTGATCCCAATTTGGGAAATGTTTGAGCAGCATAAAAAGACAAGGCATTGTACGTAAGAGAAATTAAAAGACTAGAAATAAACAATCAAAAAATCAGACATCTGAAATAGAAATAAAATTGCTGTAAAAAAGTTTAAAATATACATGTGGAAATACAAGTTTACAGTAACAAAATATAAAGCAGAATATTATACAT